CATAAAATAGCAAAAAACATATCGATATTGGCGAGGGTCAGACATATTTTGGACATAAAAGCACTACGTATTTTGTATTCTTCATTGATTTTACCATACTTGGAGTATGGCGTTGAAAACTGGGGAAATACATACACAAGCTCACTTCAACCATTGTATATATTACAAAAAAGAGCAATAAGAATTGTGCAAAAGCTGGGATACAGGGATCACACCAATGGAGCTTTCATACAGTCTAAATTGTTAAAATTTTTTGATTTAGTGGGTCACAAGACTGCTGTGTTTATGTATAAAGCCAGGAAAAATTTATTACCTTTATTACAAAAACTATTTGATGAAAAGGAAGGGGGATACAATCTAATCACTGTACACTGTTTAGAAGGTAATCAGAAATACAAGACTAAAAATTAAAATAATGTAGTCAATAAAAAAAAGTCAAAATTCAAACTGCTGTTAGAGCAATTTATTTTCTAGTTTGTTTTACACAGAAGCGTTAGACTATGAAGCAGGTGTCGGTAAAAAATAAAAAAAAAAGGAAACCCGAGCAAAAGTCTTATTCATGCTAAATTATGCTTGATTTTAGTTTTATTAAAGTCATTTTGGTTTTACAGACCTGTCCTGTGCAGCTTTACTTGGGGTTTCCAGACGATATCCAGCAGTCTGCGCTGACGATCGATCTCTTCCTCGTACTGGACGACAGTTTTTTCCAAGACTGTGAATATTTCCTCAGCAGCAACACTTAGTCGCTCGTTAATGAAAAGTCTCAGAGACTGAAGTGAAGACATTGTTGATTGGCTACAACTGAAATATTTACCCACGATACATCGACACCAAACTCTTTATCTCCACACATCCAGAAAGCTAAATATACTAGAACTTCCTCCGCTCACTTCCTGTCACACTGTAAAGTCCCGGTATAAGAGGTGTATCAACCTTAAGTTCCGCTTTAAACTGAAATCACAAACCTCGAATTTGTACCAGTTGGGTGAGGGTCTTTTATCTTTTAACCCGTTTCACATTTTGATGAACAGTCTCCGAACATTTCTTCAACAGCAGCAGTTAGTCGCTCGTTGGTGAACTGTCTCAGGTAACGAACTGGAGTCATAGTGGGTTAAGTGTACTTCGATGCTACTAGCCATACATTTGTTTACTTCCACCAGATGTCACACTGTGAACTTCCGGGATGGGGCGTGAACCAGCTTTTCGTTCCGCATTCCACTAAGAAAAACATTTTTTGTAGCAGTTGGTCAAAGTGAAGCTTTTTTTCTTTCTTCTCTCACTTCCTCCATTTTTACTCTTCTACTCCAGATTTTGATGAATAGTTAATTAAAGCCCCATATTGTATTAATTACGTTTGTAAGTGTACATGTTTATGCAGCACAGTACCTGTAGTTCTACATTCAAAATGCAAAACCAAGAACATATCACACAGTTGACATGAGTTTCTTGGAAAAGGATGTTTATAAAAAAGATTCCCATAACACACAGAATGCAGATGATGAGTCTTTTAAAGTACAATTGGTACATTATTCTTTTTTTAAATGAAGCTTTCAAAGTCTGAAAGAGCATCAATTAATTAAATTCTACATAAACTCAATCAGTGGTTGTTTGATGCTGAAAAAGCAGCATGTCTGTGCTTTTGCACCAGTAAAACAGATTTATTTATTTACTTGTCCTGAACAGAGGCACACCACAGGGCTGTGTGCTCAGCCCAGTCCTCTTCACTGTGTTTACCCATGACTGTGATGCCATTCACCCCACAAACACAGTAATGAAGTTCGCAGATGACACCATCGTAGTGGGTCTCATCTCACACAATGATGAGACTCACTACAGAGAGGAGATCCAGCACCTGACAAGGTGGTGTTCAGATAACAATCTTGTCCTGAACATTAACAAGACTAAGGAAGTCATTGTGGATTATAGGAGGTCCAGGAAGACAAAATATGCTCCTCTTCTCATACAAGGGGAGGTGGTGGAGCAAGTCAACAACATCATGTTCCTGGGCATCCACATCACATCTGACCTGACCCAGTCTCTGAACACATCCTATCTGGTGAAGAAAGCCCAGCAAAGGCTTTTCTTCCTCAGGAAGCTGAAACGCGCTGGTCTCTCCTCTCAGTTGCCTGCAAACTTCTACAGAGTGACAGTAGAGAGCATCCTCTGTCTCAGTGCGACAGTGTAGAGCTGCACTGCACAGGACAGAAAGGACTTGACCCAGGTGGTGAGAACAGCTCAGGGCATTGTAGGGAGTCCTCCTCTGGATCTGGACTCACTATACACTGACCGGATCCAGAGGCGGGCCAGACGGATTGCTGCAGACCCCACCCACCCAGGCAACAGTCTGTTTGTGCCTCTTCCCTCCAGGAAAAGGTACAGGAATATAAAGACTAAAACAAACAAACTGAGACACAGCTTCTTATCCAGAGCTGTGTCTCAGTTTGTGCCCCCCCAAACCCCTAGTCACACACACAACCTCCCCCTATGGACAGACACAGAGCACTGGACCTCACACCTCTTCCTAAAGACTGAGATTTGCACTGAGCTGCACCTTATAATGTTACTACACTCTTGCTGCTAACACGCTGCTGACCTGATTAGGTCCCATACATCCCTTTTTATTTGTTCATATTTTTTTATTGACTTATGCAGTTGTGTGATATGTAAATAATATGTCTGTCTTCTAAGCCGAGAGCTGCCAGAAAAAAATTTCATTATGCTATGCATAATGACAATAAAGATTCTTGACATGCCTTTATTGTCTGTGTGCTCCTGAATTGATCGATCAGATCTTTGTTTTGTCTGAACATAAAACTGAGTTTTAGATTATCATAACGGATTATAAACTCTTTGTGTGTCCGTTTGATCCAGTTTCAATGTGCAATGCACTCTGGGTTTAGTTTGTGTTCTGACACCTGTCCCATCTATCTGAAATAAAACAAAATAACAAACAAAAATTGAATTTTGTCTGCTTTCCTGGTTTGTGGTGTAAAGCTAAAACAAATAGTTTAGCTTGAATTTAAAACACAATATTTCTTGTATGTATAGTTTTTTTTTTGGCGGCCTGTTTTAATTTTAGTTTTAGTCGTCTTTGTGTGAAGCTGTCATTTTAGTTTTTATTATTTTTAGTCACGTTCATACTCTTTTTAGTCTAGTCAAGTTTCAGTCAACTAAAAGTCTGAGCATTTTAGTCTTATTTTAGTCAGAATTATCCATGACTATTTTCATATAGTTTTAGTCGACGAAAACTGATGATATTTAGTCTGGTTTTAGTCGACAGAAACTAATGACATTTAATCTAGTTTTAGTCAATGAAAATTGTATTTTAGTCTCTTTTAGTAATGCAATTCTATTTAACCCAGACAATAAAGTATAAGTACCTAGTAGTATAGACGAAACCAACATTTTCTTTGAGCCAAACCCATTTCAAACAAGGTTATCTTATTATTATTATTACCTTATAGACTCAAGAATACATCCAATACACATTATGTGTGATTTTGTGGCCACGTTTCTCCCCATCTTTTTCCACAATACATTCCGTTTTCTTTTCTACTTCTATGTAATGAAAGTTTTTCTAAATATCGTTTCTTCTTTTTCTCCCAGTGACGAACCCCGGCTGACCGGCCATCAGTCCCTTTCTCTGTGTCAGACATAACTTTGTTTGTTGTCTTCTAAATAATGCCGTGAGTGGTGGTTAAGGAAGTGATGTCGCCTGCGTCTGCGCAGTGTGACCTGATGCGGCCCCTGAAGCGTAACAGAAATACTGCAAAATAATAAAAATAACGTGACTAAACGCGACGAAATAACGTTATAACATTTCGTTTCATCTCGTTTTGGTCAACAAAAATGAAAAGACATTTTAGCATAGTTTTTATTTTGTAAACCACATTTAGTCTCATTTTTTTCGTCAACAATATTGCATTATACATTTAATTATAGTCATCGTCACATGACCAGCATTTACGTTGCGTCTCGCCTCGTTTTCATCATGTGATAAAGGTTCGTTGATGACGAAATTTGGTCATAATTTTTCGTTGAGGAAAGCAACACTACCTATATGCCATCTTATATTCTTTCCCAACTGAGACACACTGAGTTGTGGCTTCACACCAGTTTGTACTCTTCTCATGTGGATTGTCAATTCAGTCTGAAAGCTCGCCTACGTTTTGCAAGCATATAATATATCACCTATATGAATTCTAATATGTCTAATCAATTCATGTCATATAAAATCTTTTTCCACAGGTGTTGCAAAAAAATGGCTTCTCACCTACAGCAGATGACGATATGACGACTCGCAGTGACATCATCCACTGTAGGCTCTCACCTTCTACTCTATTCCACTTTTTGATCCGTTTTCTTCTTTTATTCTGTCAACTCTTAAGTTTCATAAACAAGTTATACATCAAAAACACAGCAAACTTATAAGAATTCAGGAACTGCGATTCGTATTGTGACAGGATGTATGGTTTTTAACTGAAATGGCCAAAACCACAGAGATGGGCCATCTAAGTCTCTCATTCAGTCTCGTTGTAAAGCTGAACAGACACTGTACAGATTTGGCCCGATTTTAGACCCAATTCAGTCGAGCCCAAATACCGTTAGGGTCAAGACGAATTTGGGCCCCATCAATGGTCATCTGACATACAGTATGAGCAGGGTCCTGGCACCAGATTAATTACCTGAACGACCTAGCTTCCAATGGATGGGATGATTTCTAGCATGTCACAAATTTTGTCGGCTGTCTTGCAGGTCCACGGTCTGAAGTTAGTTCAGTGCACTAGAGTGAGTACAAAGACTACATAACAGCATGGCCCAAATTAGATATTTTGTGGACACAACTCAAACAAGGCCATAGGCCATATATTTATATACTGTATATGGACGAGGTTAACTGAGCTCTGGCAGCACCACACAACAGTATCATGATCTGCAGCAGCAAGAAAAATAGTGACAGGAGATTAGGATAAGGATAATCACCTTTATTTGGCCAAGTATGTTACACACAGGGAATTTGTTTCCGGTACAGAACAGAGGCAGCCATCTGTGGCACCAACTCAACCAGTGGCTTTAACCATCAGGGGTAACAGGGGGGTTTCAGTGTCTTGCCCAAGGACACTTCGACATTGGACTGCAGTACCAAGATTCGAACCTTCATCCTTCCGGTTGGGATACGACTGCTCTACCCACTGAATAACAGTCGCCTCCCCAAAAAAGGCAAGGGCTTGTCCGGGAGCTGTTCATCAGCTGCACAAAGTAAAATGGCTAAAAGTAATGTCGTTTTTCTTTTGGTTGACCTAAACTTTACTGGACTTGTCAATGAACACATCCACTCCCGAGTTCTGTTTAAACGCCCAGTGTGAACGCCCATATCTTTAATACATTGTATACGATCAATAAAAGTCAACACCACGTCTGAAAGCTCCCCCACATTTTGCAAGAATAAACTTTTAACCTGTATGAATTCTTTTATGGGTTTTCAACTGTGATGCTCTACGAAAGCTTTTCTCACAGCTACTGCAAGAATATGGCTTCTCACCTGTGTGGATTCTTAAATGAGTATACAATGCTGAGCTCACGCTGAATCCTTTCCCACAGGTGTGGCAAATATATGGCCTCTCACCTGTGTGGACTCTTAAATGAATGGTCAATTCTGACTTCTGCCTGAATCCTTTCCCACAGGTGTTGCAAACAAATGGCCTCTCACCTGTGTGGCTTCTTATATGAACAGTAAAGCTTGAGCTATGATTGAATCCTTTGCCACAAGTGTTGCAAACAAACAGTCTCTCACCTGTGTGGATTCTCATGTGGAGCTGCAAGCCACCTCTTCGTCTGAAACTTTTCCCACATGTTTTGCAAAAATACGGCTTCTCACCTGTGTGGATTTTCATGTGGGTACGCATGTTATCTCTCCGTGTGAAACTCTTCCGGCACATTTTACAAGAATATGGCTTCTCGCCTATGTGAATTTTCATGTGGACACTCAAGCTACCTCTTCGTATGAAACTCTTCCCACATGTTTCACAAGAATATGGCTTCTCACCTCTGTGGATTCTCAGATGCTCAAACAGGTTACTACTATGAGAAAAACTCTTCCCACATGTTTCACAAGAATATGGCCTCTCACCTGTGTGGCTCCTCAAATGTCGGTTCAATAGTGACTTACACTTAAAATCTTTCCCACAAGTGTCACATTTGAAGAACTTGTTACCTGTAGCAGGATCTCCTATGTGGATTCTCATATGGCGTGACAAGACATCACTACGAGTGAAACTCTTCCCACATGTTTTACAAGAATATGGCTTCTCACCTGTGTGGATTCTCAGATGTACAATCAAGTTGACCTTATAGATAAATTCTTTCCCACAAGTGCCACATTTGAAGGACTTGTTACCTGTGGTAGGATCAGAGTCAGTCTGTGACATGGGAGAGTTGTCCACATTGCTACTGTGACTGGTTGATCCTGAGTCTACATGCTGGTTTCCTCTCTGATCCTGGCTCTCAGCTACAGGAGAGCTGTGAGAGAGGAGCTGCTGGTCACTGTCTGGTTCTGGTTCACTGTGGTCACTGTCCTCATAAGTAGGAGTCAACATAAAGGGATCGGTCTCCTGCTTCAGTCCAAGCTGCTCTCCCTCCTGACTGCTACGGACGTCCTCCTGTTCCTCTTTAATCTCTGGAGGCTCTGGGTCCTCTTGGTCCAGACTGGCGTTCCTCTCCTGGTCACAGAGCTGTTGGTCAGCCACAACCTCTTCCTCCTCACAGACATGTTGCTGAGGCAGCTCTGGAGGGATAAAGAGACGCAGGGAACATGTCACTGATGTAGTGAGAGGGAAAAAGAGGGATACATCTTATTTATCAGCTTCTTACTGGAATTTTTCAGTCTGCCTTCAAAGTGTTGTAAAGCTTGTGCTGGGTATTGTTTGATCATTTCAAGATGATACACTGAAGAAGACAAAGTAGAAATGTTGTTTGTGTGGCATCAAATCAGAGTGTGGAATACAATCCTGTTAATTAACTAGAATTTTAACTTGACCTATGCACCTGATGCAAAGACATTTTTGTGGAGGTGCGTGCACTTGTCTGTCCAGCAGACCCATGAGCTAAAAAATAAAATAAGGGAATAAATTCAGTGGGTCACCAGCTTTCTGACTGACAGGAAACAGCAAGTGAGGCTGGGGAAAAACCATATCCAGCACCCAGACTAACAGCACAGACTCCCCCCCAGGGGTTTTGTGCCCTCCCCGCTGCTGTTTTCCCTCTACACAAATGACTGCACCTCTGAGGACCACCCCCCTCTATTAAACTCCTGAAGTCTGCAGATGACACAACGGTTGTCAGTCTCATCTGAGACAGTGGCAAGTTGGCCTACAGACAGGAGGTTGACCAGCTGGCCCTGTGGTGTGGTCGCAACAACCTGGAGCTGAACACGCTAAAAACAGTGGATGTTAATAAGAGTGCCCTACCTTACCCTTCCTCACCATACTTGGCAGCAGTGTATCAGCATTGGTCCTTTAAGTTCATGGGCTCCACTGTCTCCCAGGACCTGAAGTGGATGTCCAACATCAGCACAATCACCAACAAGGCACAGCAGAGGATGTACTTCCTGCACCAGCTCAGGAAGTTCAACCTGCACCATGAGCTGCTGATAAAGTTCTACAGAGGAATCATCGAGTCTGTTCTCTGCTCTGTCTTCTCTGTCTGGTTTGGCTCAGCAATCAAACACGACAGGAACAGACTCCAGAGGACAGTCAAGACTGAAGAAAAGATCACTGGTGCCGACCTGCCCTCCATGGAGGACCTGTACACCTCATGGGTCAAAAGGAGGGCAGAGAAAATTTCTACAGACCCCTGCTTGAACTCCTCCCCTGTGTACGGTGACACAGGTCACTGTACGCCAAGTCAACCAGACAGAAGGACAGTTTCTCCCCCAGGCCATCACTTAACCCATGACTCTCAGAGACTGAAGTGAAGACATTGTTGATCGGCTACAACTGAAATATTTCTTAACGATACGTCGACACCAAACTCTTTATCTCCACACATCCACGAAGCTAAATATACTACAGCTTCCTTCGCTCACTTCCGCTGGTCGTCACACTGTAAAGGCCCGGTATAGGAGGTGTATCAACCTTAAGTTCCACTTCAAACTGAAATCACAAACAACAACGACTTTGTACTAGTTGGGTGAGGGTCTTTTATCCTTTAACCCGTTTCACATTTTGATCAACAGACTCCGAACATTTCTTCAACATCAGCAGTTAGTCGCTCGTTGGTGAACTGTCTCAGGTAACGAACTGGAGTCAAATTGGTTACCTGCGATACAACGGTCACAACAATATTCTTCCGCTTCTCACATACATGATAGTGTTCTTTGATGCTAGCGTTTACGGTTTACTTCTTCTTCTTATGGTGTTTTATACCCGGTTTGCAAGCAACCTAATGTGCATTATCGCCACCTGCTGGGCTGGAGGATGGAACAATAATAGAGCCGAAGGAATATAAATTTATAATAAAAATTCTTAGAACTTCATAAACTACTAAATCCTATCCAAAATACCTATATCTGCCAAATGACTAATAACTCTATATGCTGTCTTACAAAAGACTCTAATGATAAATTAGTAATCTTCTTTTTTCCACTACTGCTATCATTCGAACACATTGCTTATTATAAGCACTGCATATGAACAGGACATGCTCTACAGTCTCTGACAACAATGTGAACAAAGACCTGTAGGGTGTTTACCAATTTTGTGCAGGGTATAATTTAAACTTGTGTGACCCATTCTTAAGCAAGTTACTACACCTTCCTCTTTTCTAGTACCAGTCCATGCCTGTTGGTACCCAACCAATTTTTGGATCTTGTACAAATGCCTACTATTTACATATCCATCCCACTGTTCTTGCCAAACTTTTTGAATATGAATAATAAGGGATTTCATTTCAAATCTAAAAATTGGGGTATGCCTGGTAACTGCATCAAATTTTAAAGACTGTTTAGCAGCAGCAGCAGCAGCAGCAGCCTCCTCATTACCATCAATTCTGAAATGAGCTGGAACCCATAAAAAGCTGTGACATCTTTCTTACTCATTTTTCACAAGGACACTAATATCTTATTTAATACCTCTTGTCTCATCTCAGATATGCCTGACTTAATACTAGAGAGGGCCGAAGAATTATCAGAACAAATTAATCCCATAGTAACCTTATTTTCCTCCACTCACTGTAAAGCTAGTAGTATTGCAACCAGTTCAACTGTAAACACTGACAAGTGATCAGATGTTTTTTTTCCCTTATAACTATTCTACGTTGAGGAATAACTACAGCAGCTCCTTTTCGACCAGACTCAGGATCTTTGGATCCATCAGTAAATATCATTATTTTTGTAATATCGATCTATAAAATCCACCACATAGGTTGATGTGGGAATATGAATTGGTTTGGCTTTCAGTTTCGTAAAAAGGAACAGATTCACCAGTTGCCTCGAAAACAACCAAGGCCGAGTCTCTGGCCTTGAAATAGTTGGACAATACTTCAAATCAAGCAGACCTACTCTCTGGGCCATGATATTACCCATCCATCCAAAGCTATACAAGTTGGACTCATGGTGTTCCCAGCAATCCAGTAATATTGATTTAGCAGGATGGACACTGTCATGACCCTGCAGGCTAGCCCAGTATCCATCCATCCATTTTCCTCCACTTTTCCGGAACCAGGTCGCGGGGGCAGCAGTCTAAGCAAAAATGCCCAGACTTCCCTCTCTCCAGACACTTCCTCCAGCTCCTCCGGGGGAATTCCGAGGCGTTCCCAGGCCAGCCACGAGACATGGTCCCTCCAGCGTGTCCTGGGTCTTCCCCGGGGCCTCCTCCCGGTGGGACATGCCCGGAACACCTCCCTAGGAAGGCCCCCAGGAGGCATCTGAAACAGATGCCCGAGCCACCTCAGCTGGCTCCTCTCGATGTGGAGGAGCAGTGTTTCTACTCTGAGCTTCTCACCCTTTCTCTAAGGGTGCACCCAGCCACCCTGTGGAGGAAGCTCATTTCGG